ACAGCAGAGACTTTTGCAGGTGGTTTTCATGGGTCAGGCCTGGAAATGGGGTACACACATCACTTCCATCCCCGTTCCATTGGCCCCAGTCACACGGCCACATCTCACTGCAGGGGAGGCTGGGAGACGTATGCCAGGTGGAGAGTGGGCTTGCATGGGACATGACTTTTGCCTTGAAGCATAAGAGGGTCAATCATGGAGAAGAAAGACCACCCTGATGTGGGGGGCCACCGAGGGCAGAGCGAGGCTAGGGTAGAGGTTAAACGGGGCAGATTTAGGTTTGATATAAGGAAGGATTTTCTAATATTTGGGCTTCTCAGACGTGTCTGGGCACCTGCTAGAGGACCAGCTATCTGGGAGAGGAAAGAAGAAACTTTCATCCTTACTAGAGTCAGTGGAATGGCCTTCGGGATTGGCACTTTTCAATTTCAGGGTTTGCTGGGGTTTTTTTAAATAATGATGAGAATGGCGATGATGCCTGGTGCTTAAAGCTTTAATTCTCCATTTCCTTTGCAAAAGGTCTAGCGTCATAGATGGGGCTGAGGGAGGGGCTGGAGGCCCAAAGAGGGAAAGACTTGCCCAGCCTGGATCTGGGCTGTGCACTGCACTGCCTGATCCTTCCAGTCCTGAGGGTCTGTGCGGCTGATCCTCTCTCAGATCTGCAACCCTGGCCCAGACACATCTTCGTGAGCCCCACAACGTTTGGGGGGGTGATCAGAGTTACTGCTGCTTAAGTGGTCTGTCAGTCTAGCATTACGGAGCAGCGCTGTGTCTTCCTGGGAGGCCAGTGACCTTCAGAATCCATCGATTTCCTGAATCACTGATGAATTTTCCTGCAAAGACATCCAGGGCTGGTGTGAGGGACAGGATAACAGTGTAGGCTGAGGCCCAGCCAGGAGCCCCTCCGAGGGGACGGCAGCCTGAGCACCGAGCTGCATGCCTCGCTTTGCACGTGGCTGTAACACGATTAGCCAACTCATGATTTAAGTGGAGCCTACAGCGCTGAGAAGTAATACAAACCTCCGGGCTAGACCTTGCCCTGAGATAACCCAGGGCTGAGCTCACAAGGCAGGTGGGTACCCCTACCCTGCTCAGAAAAACGGGCACCAGCGACTGTGCCCAGAGCTGGTGTTCAGCCAGTGCATACCCATAACACCCCGGTGAAATCTTAATATACGTTCATGCTGGTTGGCAAATGAGTACTGTACAGGTTTCTGAGTGCCCCTTCCTGTCCCCAGGCTCCAGATGCCAGGACCTCCCCTTGGTCCAGCCACTAAAGGGTTACTGCCTGGCACAGCAAGCGGGGCTTCAGCCCGGTGGTGAAATATTTTGAAGATCAAGCCTGCCTGCCTGTATTTGTCAGGCCTCCAGGACAACATGTGGCACAAAGAGTTCCGGTGTTAAACTAGGAGCTCTGGGCTGTCAGGCCTTATCCCACCCACCTCACCTCCACTGACCTTTCCACAGAGGCTTTTGACTGCTGGCCCCTGAGGGGAGCAGGCTCCCCCGCCCACCCCAGTTGCACTCAACTAGAGACAAATGGCAGTAGGTGTAGAGATATCCCAACTCCTCCCCCAAGCGGGGCCACCTCTGAGGTGCGTCCCATGCTGCCTCCTGGAGGACCCCAGTGGAACTGAGCCCCAGGTGCCCTCAGGAGGAATCTGTTAATTGGTCACATCCTCTGCTGGCTTCTTCCCCACTTCCCTCCCAATGTGCCTCCTGGAATTGCCGCCCCACACTCCATTCCTTGTCTCTGGAGAAATCCAGCCTAAGGCACCATTCTAGCTCTGGAGCTCCTGTAACCAACCATGACTTTGAGCAAGTCCCTTTCCCCCCTGGGCCTCTGTTACTTCATTGGTGAAGTAAAAAAAATCAGCATCTGCTCTGGATTTGTCACTGGATCATGGTGAGGATCATAAGAAAGTGGCTAAAAACCTTTTCACAAATGGGGAAGTACAAACACCAGGGAACATCACCATGTCAAGGGGTCTCTTTCTCAGCGTGGCAGAGGCAACGAATGACCATCATGTGCTGCTCTGCTCCCCACAGCCATCGACTTTCTGGAGAAGATCTTGACCTTTAACCCCATGGATCGCCTAACAGCCGAGATGGGGCTGCAGCACCCCTACATGAGCCCCTACTCGTGCCCCGAGGATGAGCCCACCTCGCAGCACCCCTTCCGCATCGAGGATGAGATTGACGACATCCTGCTGATGGCCGCCAACCAGAGCCAGCTCTCTAACTGGGACAGGTGCAGTTCCAGAAAGTTCCAGCCCTGGAGTCTAGAGCCCACATCGCCACCCTCCCATTTCTGTTTTGCCTCTGGTCCTCCGTGATCTTGCCCTCTGTCTCCCACGCTGTATAGCCCTTGGGGTGCTTTCCCCAACTTACCTTTCTGCCTTCCTTTCTCCTGTCCCGATACTCCTAGTAGAAGACAAGCCATGTCTTGCGTGTGGGAGTCAGGGACCTTTCTCTGTGCAACACGACCACCACCCCGCCCCCGCCGCTTATACTAAACACAGTGCTCAATACACTATTCGGCAAGCACTTAATGAGTGCCCACTGTAGGAGCTGACTTCTAGTAGACTTGGAATTTGCACTAGAAAAGTAAGCTGCAGCAATGCAAGACAAGGAAGCGATGCGAAATTACCACTGCACAACACATCCATGTGGTTCACACCAGTGGCACCCCCTGAGAGTGCCACTAGGGGAGGTGCCATTTTGTTATTGCCCATTGGCACATGAAGAAGCCACAGCTCAGAGAAATTAGAGATAGGCACTGTGTCACACAGCTATCTCTAGCTATCACTGGCCCATATGGGGTCCCCCCCAATCTGCACCCATGCCAGACACTGCTAAGCAATCACAGGACTGCTTCCTGCTAAACTGGGCTGTGCCTCAGAATCCGTCTCAACACAGTGTGCCCAGATGTCACTACTAATGATTCAGAGTTGGAAAGAAGATACTTTTTTAGACAATCTCCACATAGGCACATAATGATCTCTTAGGTTGCTTCCTATTCTGATGTTCTTAGATCAGGCAGCTAAACATTTGGGCATCACCATCTGCTATTCCTGGGAGGGACAGCTAATAGCTTCTCCATTTAGACATAAAGTCAAGGGCTTACAGCTAGGACTCCAAGGGGCCTAAGTGGGATCCCCACTGTTGTGGGAATGTGACAGCTAGTTACATAAGTGACAGATGAGCAATTTCTCCTTTTCAGTCATTTGACAGATGATGGCTTTCAGATTAAGGAGGCACTCAGGGAGGGTCAGGGCAACGTTGCTATTTTTGGACTGGTTTGTTGGTTTGTCGTTGTCCATTGTTGTTATCAAGAGCTGCCAGCAAATGGAGATTAATGAAGACTTGCTCTTCTGCCACCCCCAACCCCTCGGGCTTGGCCTGCCCTTGACCGTGATCCCTGCAGCCCCTCCCTCTCCACAGGATTTGGGGACTCAGCGAGGTTCAACCTATACTTATCGTGGCTGTGGCATGGGGTTGGTACCAGGAAAAACTGTAGCAGGGCTTCTTTGGCTGCTGCCCCTTAACTCTGACCACCTCTGCTCCCAACCTCTCCCATCACACCTGCCTGAGGGACGGGGACTACAAAGGTGATGGCAAACCCTTTCGTACAGGAAGGGTCAACTGCTTAACCTCTGAACACCAGTGTCCTCATCTATGAGGCGGTGATCATACTGACTCCACAGGACTGTTAATGGAGACTACAGACAACTTAACGTTGGGCCCTTGGCATGTAGCAGACAAGGGTTCGGGTCCTCACAAGTTCTTCCTCCTAGAAATATTTGCAATTTCGAGGCCCCTCATGGGAGGAGGCAGTGTTCACCTCTGGGAGTGACTCCTGCCCTAACAGCGTCACTGAGAGAGAGGGCAGGCAGTATTTGGGGCCTTCCCGTGTCTCACAAACCATATCGTGTGGACTGTAGCTGCACATCTGCCCTTCCACACAGCCAAGCCTGCCGGTTGTTGGTGTGTTGGTTTTTCCTGTGTGAGCACTAGGCCTCCTGGTACGTAAGCAATTGGTTGCTGGTTGATGCCTCATCTGTGCTCCCTGCCTTCCCCCTGCATCTCCCCCCACTCCACCCCCAAAGGTCATGCATAGAACACCTGGCCCAGGGAAGGGAGCACTCTGCCGAGCTGATGGCTGGCCTCCTGCCCGCCTCCCCCCTGCCCATCGTTTGCTCTTGGCTAGCTGACTTTGCTCTCTACTAACAGCGGAGGACAGTTGACAGAGGGCACAATTCCAAGGATCTCTGGCCACTTCTGAGGTGTCTGTAATCTTTCCGGGGCCCCACCTGCTCTACATCTATGCACAGTGCTGCAGGGCACCCAACCAGACCCACGAGGGCCCCAGTTCTCAGCCCTGTTTGTACCTTCGAATCAGCTTGGGGAGGTTTTAAAACCTGCTGATGTGGGGGTTTACTGTTGTGGGGGGTACTGGCTCGGAACTGGGGGCATAGGTAGGGCAGGCATAGAATTTTATTTTTAATCCCCTCGGGTGATCCTAATCTGAGCCAGGGCTGAGCAGCACTCATTAGGGCCCTGCAGCTCAAAGTGTAATCCCTGGACCAGCGGCATCAACATTATGTGGGAGCCTGTTAAAACTGCAGACGTCAGCAGAGTTTGAGAAGCATTGCATGGGTGCAGCCCCTAGAAAGCAAATTGTATTAGGACAGGGATTTTTGTTGTTTTGTCCACTGCTATGACTAGTAATGCCTAGAACAGTGCCTGGCACATAGTAGGTGTTCAAGGAATATTTGTAAGGTATTGAATGAATATAAAAGAATACAAGGGTTAAGACAATCAGTCCCTCTACCTAAGCCCTGGATGTTAGCCATTATCTTGTCTCATCATCCTCCCACATTGGGGGGTGGCAGGAGCTGGAGGGACTGGGCTGGGGCTCCAACTACCATTCTGTGTGTACCCTCGCAGGTACCCTGTGAGCCTGTCATCAGACCTCGAGTGGCGGCCAGACAGGTGCCAGGACGCGAACGAGGTGCAGCGCGACCCACGCGCGGGCTCGGCGCCACTGGCGGAGGACGTGCAGGTGGACCCGCGCAAGGACTCACAGAGCAGCTCCGAGCGCTTCTTGGAGCAGTCGCACTCGTCCATGGAGCGCGCCTTCGAGGCCGACTACGGACACTCCTGCGACTACAAGGTGGGGTCCCCGTCCTACCTGGACAAGCTGCTGTGGCGCGACAACAAGCCGCACCACTACTCAGAGCCCAAGCTCATCCTGGACCTGTCGCACTGGAAGCAGGCTGCTGGCGCGCCCCCCACCGCCGCGGTGGCTTCGGACGCCGGAGCGCGCGAGGACGAGCCCGCCAGCCTCTTCCTGGAGATCGCGCAGTGGGTCAAGAGCACGCAGGGCGGCCCCGAGCGCACCAGCCCACCCCTCCAGGGTCCTGAGCGCGGCCTGTCTGCCTCTCCGCCCCGCCGTCCAGCCCCTATCGACGGAGGCGCAAGCCCCCAGTTCGACCTGGATGTGTTCATCTCCCGCGCCCTGAAGCTCTGCACCAAGCCTGAGGATCTGCCAGAAAATAAACTGGGCGACCTCAATGGCACGTGCATCTCCGAGCACCCTGGCGATCTCGTGCAGACGGAGGCCTTCTCCAAAGAAAGGTGGTGACAGTGTAGGGAGCACTCCAACAACCCCACCACCACCACCACCACCACCATCATCACCACCACCCACCAGCGGGAGGTCACCCGAGAAAGCCAGGCCCGGCAGCAGGAGGCCGCCTCCCTGGCACCTCCATCCACCCCATGCACCCCTCTCTGCTACCTGGGGGTTAGCAGAACGCAGGAAGGATCCGAGGAATGAGAGGAATGTCCATTTCTTAAACTGCCTTAATAATTAGCCTTTAATCTCTGGGAGCGGGTTTAAACAGGAGCCTAGTTTGAGGTTTGATCACTTTCCCAGCCAAGAGGAGGCGCTCGCGTGTTATAAGTGGTGGCGTGCAGGAAAGAAACGTGTCGTAGACAGCGGTCTGCAGGCCCTGCCTGTGCGGCTGGGTGCAGAGGAATCTTGCAGGCGTCGTGTTGAAACCATCTGGCTCAACTAGCGCCAATTGACAGATGAGGAAGGACAGTGAGGCCCAGAGAAACAAAGTCTAGCCAGTGTCAGGGCTAGAATCCCAGGCACTCGGCCCCCAGGCCAGTGTCTGTGTACTATATAATGTCTTCCTCTGCTGGGATCATAACTGGCTTTTCAGTCAGAAAACTTAGTCCAAGATATGTCTTCTGTGGCCATCACTATCTGGCCCATTCGATGTCCCTTTATTCAGAGAAATGTTTTTTGGATTCCCAAATTGGAAACTGAGCCAGTTTCTTTCCCCTAGTCACCAAGCATATTTCTTCCTGGCTCCTCAAGTGCATAAATATTCTCATTTGCGTTGCCCCTGTATTTGCCTCACTCCTGCATGGTCTGAAATCTTGGCTTCAGATCAGACCAATTTGAGGTCTGTGGGTAACATAACCCATTCTCCCAGGCTTGTGCCCATATCTCTTCCAAAACTCCCTATGCACTTTTCCTGACACATGCGCAGACGCAGACACCGCCCTAGTTCCCAAGGGGGGTGTCATACACGGGTAAGTTCGAATACAGCCATTCCGTGAATCCCTCCAGCACCTCCCCATCCCCTGCCCAATGAGGAGCCCACCATACAGCCCATGGGGCCTATCAGGCTCCATTAGTACTGCCCTTGATTTTGATCATCCTCTTAGCCCTGGCAAAGAGCAGGCCCTAAAGAGATGTATCAGAGAGCAAGTGGCTTAGGGAACAAGGAATCCAGAAAGGTGGGAAGATGTGAAAGATGGGGTGCCAATATCGAGGGCCTTCAGGAGTCAGGCAGCAGCATGGGGACCCCATGGCAAAGGAAGGGACTCAAGGCAACCATGCCCCTCCTAGTTTAGGCCAGGATGAGCCTGGAGCGTGCACACCCAGAGGCCCGCCCACACAGAGCCTGGGGTAACGTGTGGGCACTGCAGCCCCCCTGCAGAAGTGTGATCTAGTCCCCTGGAATGCTGTGCTGTTTCCACCACTGGTGTTCAGCTCCACCCCCTCCCCTAGCACGCCCAAAGATACCCACAGGAAGTCTAGCCACTCTAAGCGGAGGACCCCCAATGTTCGTCTTGGCTATGTTCACCCTCACCTCGACAGCACCTTAAATCTAATCAGCTAACTAGGATTTGTACATTGGAACCTGCAACACATTAGAAACTTATATTTAAAAAACGGAATTAATCACACTGACCAATTTTTAAATGGAACATATGTAAATATGAAGTATTTGGTTTTGGTTGTTTTCTTTTTTTAAAAAAAAAAGGAAATATATACCACTCTTCATGTGCCATTTGTCCTCAGAGGGCAGCTTTACTTTTTTGGTAAAGGAACAAGCTGCTGACCTTGATCAGAAGTTCATATATAATTATTATTACAAAGGAATTGTTATTGCTTCTCCTGTTTTAAAAAATCTGGTAAGCGTTATTCAACTTGATCAGGACTGGCCAAATAAAGTTTTATTGGAACATGGATTCATTTGTTCACTTATGTATTATCTGATCCTGCTTTCGCAGTGGTTGATTCATCAGAGCCTGACTGTCTTCTCCCTATACCCATAAAGGCCAGTGTTTTGAGGGGTTGCAGTTGGAGGGGAGGGGAGAGGAGAATCTACACAGATTGATAATCAGGGAAGTGATTCCAGAATCATTTAGTTCAGGTCTGGTGTTTATACTGTGGATTTCAAACCCTATCTAGTAGCCAATGCTAAACCTTCTGACCAAGTTTCAACCTTTCCTCCAGTCAGTATAAAAGGTACCAGTATCACGAGAGTTGGGGTAGCCAACCACCCAAAAATGCCTGAAATCACAGATGCCTGAGATTTCACCCATCTGAAGTTCATCCTTTTGTAACTCCCTGTGTCAAAGCATCAGCCTAAGCTTCATTCATTATTCAATAAATATATATATAGACAATGGAGAGAGTTTAATTTTTTTTTTCCTGCTTATTTTTACTTCCCTGAAAGGCCGTTTGATTCAAGGAATCTTCTCTTGAAATGCATTTGAGTCAAGAAGAACACCCTGTGAAGCCAATTGTGGGATTCTCTTCAAAGGGTCACCTAAGAGTAACTATGTCACAGCTGGACAGACGTGAATAAAGAAATGGCCCAGAGCCATGGCAGGATCCTGATTGAAATTTTTTATTTGAGAAGACTTAAGGTCTGGGCTGCTAGAATGTAAGGAGTGGAGTTTGAGGCAGGAGTTGAGAACCCCCAACAGCAAACAAAAGGTGTCCCCTCCCAAAGGAGTTGCATGGGGACATGCTTAATTCTCCCAGCAGCAATGTGTGATAACACGTGTCAATTATTGTCAACCAGGGAACCTCACCCAAGCCTTGGTGTCAAGGGTTTTTATTGGGGATTAGTCATGTAGGACTTGGTGGCTGATCTGAGTTACTTAGTCTTCAGCCCCTCAGAGATCAAACTCATACAGCATGACCCAAGGTTTCAACCATACAAAAACACTCTTACCAGGCAGGATATTCTGAGGGCTCTGAGGAGCCAGTCAGGGGGCCAGTCCTGAAGACAGGCCTTCCTTTGGAAGGGACAAGGTTTGAGAAACTTGGGCCTGCTGAGTTAACCCTATACTGCTCGGTGACTGAATATAGTTGTGTCTCCTGCGATTCTAAAGTTGTGTGTGAGTTTGTCTCGTGAACATTACAGCAAAGCTGAGGCAATGCAGCTATTTAGAATAGAGATCTTATTTGCTAAAATATGCCTACATATTTTTAAGAATATGCAGCATTATTAAAGTAGAGTAATAATAAAAACATGCATACTGAGGCAGGTGTTAGGCAGTCTAACCCCTGAGATGTGTTTTCTTATTGAATCATGGTCTGCCTATGAAAGCCAAGCCTGTCGACAGATTGGCCAGCTAGCTCACTTCTTCTATCAGTGTGGTTATTACCACATGCATGATGGATGGCTTTAGGAAGCAGTCATTTCCATCTACCCCAGAGCTGTACTGGAACACCAAGCTGAGGGCTTCAGGGTTCTGTGGCTGAGGGTACTCTGGCTGTGTAGCTGCCTGAGAGATGGCCACGTGAACCAAGAGGCAAGATTGTGACCTGAAGATGTCAATCGTCAGGCTGAGCCACACCCAGCTCCAACCCTCAGAAGATGGTTCTCTGGGGACTCTAGAGTTACAAAGGAAGGAA